TTGGGGGTGACGTCACCTCCTCGGGGTCCCCCTTGTCACCTGGGGCAGCAGGACCAGGAGGTTCTGGTGGAGCCAACGCTGCCCCACGGGGTCTCACCCTGCTTTGGCAGAACCTTCCAGAAACGCTGGAGTGGTTTTGGAGTGGCAAGATGAGATTTGGGGGCTCCTGCTGATCTCCCCCTGGTGTTGAATCTGGGGGGGTGGGGTCACATTGGATGTTCTGCTGCTCCTCCACTTATGGCCTTCATCATCCCCATCCCCCAGGCTCAGCATTCCTAAATCTCAAAGATCCACCACGTTGTACCTTGGAAATGGATGAGTAGCCCCCCCAGAATCGAGGGGCTCTGGGGGGAGCCACATTTTTGCAGGGTCTGGAGCTGGAGCACCCACTGAGCTCCCTTCGCCCCATCCTGGTGGGTGCTGTCCCTGCTGGGTGCAGCCGATTCAGCCCTGGGAGATTTTTGGGGTGCCCAGGGGAGCGACAGGGGTGCGGGCAGGAGAGGCAGGAGCTGGTCTCCTCCCTGCCCACACAGTGCGGACGGTGGGAGCCAGGAGACAGGAATTAGGCTGGAATAGGAATTACCCCCCCCAGCACCCCCTTTTCTTTTCAGCTTTGACCCCGAATCCGCTCGGCTTCATCCCAAAGCCACCGTGTCAAGGGGGGTCGGCTTCAGGAGCTGTTTTCCCATCAGATACCCCAAAAGCAGAAGCGTTTTTACCTCAAGCGTGGGGCCACCCCTCTTTTCTTGAGGGCCACCACCCCACGCCTGCCACCGCCCAGTTTGGGGTCCTGGGTGCTCAGTGGAGGGTGAGCCCAGGGTGCAGGAGGCATCTCCTGGTGCTGGTAGGGTGCTGGGATGGGGGTTCTGGCTCCGTGCGTCATTCCCAACCTCCTCCCGAGGCCGTTTCAAAGCCCCCGTGGTGGGAAGTGGCTCGCTGGAGGAAATGGGCCACTTTGTGGCTACCGGCACCGCCGGGGACCCAGCCAAGCCCCGCCGAACACAGCGCCGAAATTTGCAGCTTCTCCAAAAAAAAACCCAAACCCATTGCTCCCAAAGCTTTTCCCACCCGGCCGTGTGGCCAGCGAGATGTTCGGCCGGTGGCCCGTGGCAACCCTGCGCAGCCTTCCCTTAGCCCC